ATGGTGACCATGTCAAAGATGGTGAACATATCAAAGATGGTGAACATATCAAAGATAGTGAACATATCAAAGATGGTGACCATGTCAAAGATGGTGAACATATCAAAGATGGTGAACATATCAAAGATAGTGAACATATCAAAGATGGTGACCATGTCAAAGATAGTGAACATATCGAAGACGTTAACATATCAAAGATGGTGAACATATCAAAGATGGGGACCATGTCAAAGATGGTGACCATGTCAAAGATAGTGAACATATCAAAGATGGTGAACATGTCAAAGATTGTGAACATATCAAAGATGGTGAGCATGCCAAAGATGGTGACCATATAAAAAATGGTGAACTTATCAAAGATGGTGAACATATCAACGATGGTGAACATATCTGCGGTCGTCCGGCAAAATTTGATCTGGAAATAAGTAAAAATACCTTAAATGAGTTTTTGGACTGTGGGAGGAAACCAGAGTACCCAGAGAGAACCCATACATGCTCAGGGAGAACATGCAAACTCCATCCAGAATCGAACCCTGAACCTTCTTCCTGTAAGGCAGCAGTGCTACCTACTGTTCTACTGTGTAGACTTAACAGTCTCTAGGAAGTTGTTAAAAGAAAGAGCTAAAAAAAAAAAACATACCGATTTTTAGGCACTTTGGAAAAGTGGATAATTTATAGCAGCTGAAAAACTCCCTTAAAAAGAAGTCTGAGTAATGTCATTGGAATGAAGGCAACAGATGCACATAAGGGGAGCTTGTGAAGAGACAATGTACTTGGTTACTTAGAGAACAAGCTTTAAATTAATTCTGTTAAATTAATTCTAAATCAGTGAAAGGCTATGCACCAAAATACATTACATATTGTTATCAGTGGATCCAACACCCGAAATTTGGGAATTTGCAAACTCCTGAAAATACATCTTGTCAGAAGCCAGCAGATGCATTTAGCTCGACACAAATATGTTTCGGACCAAATAAATGCAATGACGCGTATTACATCCACTTGTCAACCAGAGATGGAAGGCTGAAGCAAAGCAAACATGGCTGCACCAGTTTTAGCTGGAGTACCCTCTATTTCTTTTTGAAATATAGGCAAATGGTCGTTATTTTTGCCTTTGTGGATGGGAAGATGTTTGCATGTTCCCCCCAACAGGATTTGGAAAGAGTTTGATTCATCAGTTAACTCTGCTAGTTGAGAAACAAATCAAGCTGCTACTGCTGCTGTGATTGGCTATAAGTTTAACATAGGAGGCAGTTTCCCAATCAGCTTGAAGAATTGTACTGAATGTCCCTCCCTTTTTCAAACACTTTCCACATTAGGCTTTCCAGATTGATAGTCCAGTTCAATTTGAATTCTATATATCAATCTTTCCTATGCAAGGTTACTAATCTCCCCCTAAAAAATCTTCACTTTACATGTAATACACGTCACCAAGATTAAAAACCTATTTATTTAAATTTGCCCTTAATTGTGCTAAATTGCTGTTAACTTAAACATAATTGGTTCAAGCTTATTGTCCAACTGTTACTCTATATTATTTATGATGTTATTATGTTTTGTTAATCTAAAGCACTTTAAATTATCTTGTTACTGAAATGTGCTTTACAAATAAATATGCCTTGCCAATAATTAATTTCTTTTTTGGAAACAAGAAAGTTAGTCGGTGTGCCAAAACATCCTTTCATACTGCCCTCTGCTGGCTATAACATTGTATTACAATTAAATAAAGCTTTTTCTGTTAGTGGGTTCATTTAGTACTGGGAGATTAACGTTTCCTAGTTCCAAATGAAACAAACAAAAAAAGCCTAAGGTAGAAGGACATTTTTATGTTGGTTATCTTATATTGCAGTAGTTTTTTTGCACAGTTTGTACTCAATATGTAGTTTTACTTTCAGAAGAAAAAAGTTCCCCTTCATGTTATGCATTAAACACTAAAATGTTATTCTCATAAATGGATGTTTAAAAAAGTTCTTCAGAGGATGTTCTTTTTATTTTAAGGTTGTAACTTGGAAAATTTAGAGTTTAATAAGAAAAATCCATGTGTATATAAGAAATTTTATTTTGGGGAATGTTAGCTAAAAACTCATAAAGTAAAGTTCAGATCTGGAGACACAGAGGTCCTGCCTGAATCTAACTTTAGCTTTAATTAGGGAACATGTATTATTTTAGAAGCATCATGCATATATTGTAGGTCTAAAATCTAAATTTGATAATAATAAGATCACAAAAGTAAAAAAAAATCCTACTAGTGTAGTGATTTCTAGAGGGAACAGGTCAAAAGACTATGTTCATAAGAGTCAAGAGTCTAATTCTTGCACCACACCATGCAAACTTTTACCTCGGTGTGCTGTCATTGCCATCGAATTTAGACTTCATAGACAAGTAGAAAGAAGCATCTTTGTCCTTTAGATTAAAATTTCTTCATGCCAGCTTTGAGAATGTGGTGATAGCACCTCTAATTATTTGTGCTACTAAAGTGTTCCCATATTTGAGTTTTCTCCAAAATTTGAAAGCAGAGAAAATGTGATGGCCTCCCTGCAATCCTGTCCTCAGAGAGATGAAGCAGTTTAGCTATTAGAATGACCAAAACAACAGCTTTGGATGACAAATATTGGTTAAAACGAAATTTATTCTTTGGCTTTCAAAACCATATGAGACTTATTATGTTTTGGTGGTTTCTTTTAGTTGTTGGTTTTATTTGTTTATTTAATGTTTTTTGAATATTTTTATGAATATTAATTTATTTTTACCAGTTTTATTGTTTTTAGTTTTTTAAAAACCGTTTTATCTGCTTAGTGTGTGCAACATTTTAAGGCAGCTGTAGTTGCTTTAAAGGGCTCTACAAATAAAGTTGAGTTGAATCAACACCAGACAAGAGCCAATGGCAGAATGAGGATTTAGCAAGTTTTTCTTGCCCACTCAACCTTACAGCTGTAGTCACAAATGTTATTTAATTCTGTCTGTCTTATTGATAACCATTTTAAAAAAATGTTATATTACAAAAAATAATAAGTGCAGTCATAAATCAACCTAACTGATTTGAGTATTCTATGTTGTAAAGTAAACCTGTATTTTCAGTTGAATACAGCTTTTGCTTGATATGTTCTTTTTTCTATCCTATTTGTCTTATAAGGTTGGACAAACGTGATACTCCAATTTCCTCTGCCAGACATTTTCAAAACTAAAGAATAGATAAAAAAAAAAAAAAATGTATTTAATAACTAAGATTTCACACTCATCTGCTGATTAATCATGTGCTGATTAATTTAACCCTGCAATGTTACAATAAAACCTCTAGAGGGCAGCAAAGCCTCGAAGGCTTAAATGACCTGATGGCTTTTATTGTGCTCAAAATACAACAAAAGAAATAAATGTCTTGTAAAATACATCTTTATGTATTTTATGTATTTCATATGATATAATATTCATTTATTCCATATAATGTTAGATTATTATCATAATTTAGCTAAATATTCAATTATTTACAAAATCCAAAAAACAGAAATAATCCCTAAATTAAATATGAAAATAATATTTAGATAAAAAAATATGATTTATTTAAAGGTAATTATATTTAATTTAAAGTATTGCAGGTATAAATATTAATTAAACGTATATGTTCTAAATTGTGATAATTAGGGTCCTTTACAGGTAAATTGGTTTGCCTATTTAAGAAATAATAGAAAAATAATTATTAGTAATAACAGATTTATGCCTAGAGGAGATAAAATGTTTATTTATTTAGATATTATTGTTATAGTGTAATGTTTTGCTCAGTCAGGATTGGTACAGCTCAGGAGGAGGAGTCTTGTTACGTCCCCAGCCTTCGTGGAAACCACACGCCAAAAGCGGCTCCCTCCACTTCCACGCTCCCACTCACGCCACGCGCGCCTGGAAGCTGCGAGACGATGCGGCTGCAGGGCTGAGCGCCACCGGCTCTCTTTCCACCCGCGGAGACGCGACGTTCGGCTGCAGCGCTGCGTAAAAGATGAACCTTCAGGCCGGCTGAACGTGGAGGCTGCAGACCGACGCGCTTCGGTGAAAGGTGGGGGAGGGGGGACGGCAGGCCGTCTACTTAAGAGGATAAAAGAAAGGACGGAAAGGGAAAGGGAGCTATTTATAAGGTGGACGCTCTCGGTGACGTCATGAGCGGCGGAGCGGACGAGAGCTCGGTGCGCGTTGCCCTGAGGTAAGGATGCAGGGCAGAGATGCTCCTCTGTCACACCTGCCAGGATCTCAACATGCCTTTCTCAGCTTCAGCATCCCACTCTGTAAACATCGCATCCTCTTTATATCTCTAAATCCTTCCTTGTTTCCTTCAAAGTGCTTTTATCTTCACATCTGATCTTAGTGGATGCCAATGAGGAGCTATGCTTGAGCACCCCTGCTCTGTGGAGTGGTTTTATGAATGAATTTCTTGTGCAGAGGGAGGATTAGGCCTGTGCAGGTTGTCTCTTGTTCTCAGATTAGATTGTAATATGAGGACTGAGGAACACACAATGCCTTCCCCTAAAACCCAGCTGCAACTTTACTTTTCATCCCATGGATCTATTTCATCTTTTTCTTTGTTTTTATCCTTTTTTTGTATATAAATTCCTGCAGTGTTTTGGTTGCATTGTTTTCCCTAGATCTGACCTTTTGCCCCTTGTCAGTGTCAGCAGACAAGGCTGCTGGACTCTTAATCCCTCCTATGCTCATCTCTAAAATAAATAAAGAAATGACAAGGTTTCACCGAAGGCGGGTTTGTCTGCAAACATGCGTATGTTTGTATTGAAAAGACCGGCTTTAATGTCATGTGAGCCGCATGGAAGAGAGAAGACAAAAGCTGCTCCCTCTCATGTTTCTCGTCCCCGCTCCCCTTCGCTTGCCTTTTCTCCTGATTTTGCATTCAGACTTTGACCCAGAGCTGTGTTTGCTAAGCCAACTCACTTTACAAGCCGCCCTCTCTCTCCGTCTTAGATAATAAATAATCTATCATAAGCAACCTGATTTCATCAGTGCAGAACAGGCTTCAAAAGAAGACCTTTTTTTCCACCTCTTAAGATTAATTAGTTCATTTTCCCACCATAAAAAAAAAAACTCTGGTCTAAACTCTGAGACATAAATAAGCTTTTGATGTTGATCTTTGTTCACACTTTGTATCCTTACCTTACCTATTCATGTACAGATCAACAACTAATTCTAGTGGAAAGAAAATAATTATAGATTATATAATGTTGCACATGCCCATTCTTTTTTTTTTTTTTTACTTATTATAGCCAAAGTCCAGTCAGAATGAATGGAGAGGTTCGATTAACCCTAACTTTGAATTCTTGGCTTCTAACTTTGACTATACCCTGCTAACGAATGGATGTATTAGTTTTTAATCTCACCCTTATTTGTGCTAAAGAACAGCATCTCTAGAGCATGATGCAGCCACCACCCTGTTTCATCATAGGGATGGTGTTTTAAGGGCAATTCATGGTGTTCATTCTGAAATTTGGTGAATGCAATTTAAAAGGTTTAGCTTTAGCATTTTTTAACATCTTGGCTGGGTATAGATTAAAATGACAAGAAACGATTCAGTTTAGATTTGCAAGATTTAGAATCGATTCTTTTGTATCTGGTCCGATCTCAAAGTGGATTGCAGGTATTAAAAACAGTCTTTTAAAGGCCACTTTATTGTTTTTATTAGATTACATGACTTTGGAGTTAGGCAAAAATATTGATACTAGTGGTGACGAAAAGGACAGTAATGCATTTTTTAACATAAGGAGCATTTCACAATTGGAGAACCTGTTTTTAGATGCAGCCCTATCTATAATTAATAAACTCTATATAACGGCTAGGATTTCTTTTTCACTTTTCTTACTACATCCCATGTTAAACAAAGAGATTTATAGCTTTGCAGGGCGCTGTCTGTAAAGTACCACGTGTTGACATCTCTGTTAATGGATTTATGATTTAAAAATGGCTTAAGTTGTTTTGATTTCACTTTCATTTTGATTAATTAACATCCAATTTTTAAAAATGTAGCATTCACTGAGGGAAAAGTTTGTTGCTTTATAGATACGGTAAACAGAGATTGTCTGTCAACGACATGTATTTAATGTAAGTTGGAGCCAGTAAATCACCATAATAACGTAACAATGACACTGGATGCATAGTGACTCATCGTGTAATTGCTAGACAGGTTGCTGAGTTGGGCTCAGTATGATCTCCTCTGAGGTCAGCAGCGTGTAAAAATGCTTTGTCACTAAGCTACACACACACACACACACACACACACACACACACACACACACACACACACACACACACACACACACACACACACACACAGAAGGTAATCAGCTTCATGTTGGCCTGTTTATCTCACCGTCACACAATAAATGTGACATTCTCTTCAAAATACATCGTTTCATATGATGTCTATCCTTTCTGTGCATATTTTTGCAGGTAGAACTCCTCTAGGAAGGCTTTCCACAACGTTTATAGGTGTGTTTATGGGAATGTTGGTGCATTCATTCAGAAGCTTAGAATGTCAGACACTGATGTGGGACCAAAAACCCTTGTTCACATTCTCCACTCTAATTCACCCCAAAGATGTTCTGTTGGGTTTTGGTCATGACTTAGACCAGTTGCATTGTTCAGAAAACAGGAAGTGGTATGCCTGAAACTGTTTGGGAGTTTGAACAACTTTGAAATATTTAAGGAATACCAAAGATTTACAGTTTTTTCACAAGAGTAGAGCAAGAATTAATTGCATATGTAATGTCATCAATATTTGCAAATGGCAGAAGGACTTCAACACAAGTGAGACACTTGACTTTCTCACTGCGGCCCTTTAGGTGGCCAAAAGTAGGTTTGTTGCCACAGAAAAAGGACAGCGAGGGTGGCAGCTAGGTAGCAGAACCATGCATGCCAGTAGAAATAAGCACTTTTCCACATAACAGTTAGATTAAAGTCCTGCGACAATGGACACTGGGCAAGCAAGCTGTCCATGTCACGAAAACGATAAAACAATGGCGTGAATCATCTACTTCCTTATGGTTAGTGCTGCCAAATATCGAAATAAAATCTCAATTTTTAATTCAGCCATTTTGCAGTTGCTTGATAACAGAAACTCGTCCCATCAAGGTCTTTTTGCAATGTTCTGCATCTATATGATGGGTAGTGTTGACCTGGTGGGTTAGAGCAGTGTGCTTGTGCTCTTGGTTCCTGAGCAAACCCTTAACCCCAAACTGCTCCACAGGTGCCACACAATGGCAGCCCACTGCTCTCCATGGGGATGAGTTAAATGCCGAGAATGAATTTTCCCATTGTGGGAAAATAAAAGGATTTACATGAATTATTCTGAAGGCCACATGAAGTTAGGACGTCTTTAGCTATCGACAAGGAATGCTTGGGACGTTGCTGACTACCTGCCTCAGCATCCGCCGACCTCCATCTGTGGTGTTTTCATTTTGACAAAGTTATAGCTGAGTTGCTATTACTCCAACTTGTTCCTTTTTTGTTACAATACCACTAACATTTGGCGGTGGGATGTTTGGAAGGGGTAAAATGTGACGGCTGGGTTTCTTGCACAAATCCTGGATATAAAGATACATGCTTTAAGATTGGCAACTTATTCCATCTCTGATTGAGACTCATTTTTTAAGTGAAAAGAAGATGTTTTTCCATGGGTTCCTGCTTCTTCTCGTCTATGATTTAGATTGTTTTGGAAACATGACATGTTTTTATTCGATTTTATTACTAAAAAGAACATTTTCTTTCAATAAATAAAAATTTGTCCATTTTTTAAATTTCTTGTTTTTTTTGTTTTGTTTTTTATTTACTATAAACTTATAAAATTTAAAACATGCCATGGACCTTTATTTGTTGCATTATGTATAGAGACAGACACAAACATCAACCATCTGATGTTTTAGGCCAAGATTAATTCTTTTGCGTATTAATTTATATGTAACATTTATAATCATTGTGGTATTTTTATTATGTTAATAGTGAAAACAAGCAAAATGTGCTACAAAACTGGCATTACATATTGGGAATCGGTTAGATTGAAATGATCAAAATAATTCTCTTTTGGCCTTTAAAAATCATCTCTAGTTATCTATAGTTTAATCTCGACTGTTCAGACACTGATGATAACCTCTCAACAGGTGGGATAATACGTTCAGAATGAAGCTTTCTTGGTTATCATGCATGTTTTTTCTTCAGCCTATTGGTTAAATCAACAAAGCTGGAGACTGATGACACAGAAATCCCCCCAAAACTCGTTAGTATAACAACAAAGAAATACAAAAGTACGATCAAAGTAAACGGAAAGTTAGACCTTAAAAAGAACGCTCCGCCCTTCATTAGATGGTCCCATTTATATTCAAAGATAATGACCAGGAGCCACGCTTTTCATCCCCTCGGCACATTCCTCTCTCAGCCCGTGGACCCCCACCCTCCCGTTGGTGTTTTCACAGCAGCTAATCGTCATGGATACATTCTAATTATTCTAAACCTTTATAGCTGTAGTGAATCTGATATATTTGGACTGTCAGCCTCAGCCAGCAGGTAGTTGGTTTCTGCCTGCCTCAACCTGCAGGTCTAGTGCTGTCTTTTAGCAGGTTCCCTAAGCCACCATCCCAACAGCACCACGGTGATGAATTTCTCCTCTATGGTCTGGTTTTGGGTGTGGTAGTGTGGTAACAGACGAAACAACAGAGGAAGGCTACAATGACAACCAAGGGGAGGCTCCTCAGGTTGATTCATTAGTGGAAAAATTATGATTTAGCATCTTGTAGGTTTTTCCAAAGTACCTCGTCACACCTGATGTCGTACCGATGCTAGGCCTCATTTATTTTCTATGCTGCTCTATGTAGACCAGATCTACTTTGATATGTAACAATGGATCTCTGCCCAGCCAGACATGTGTCTAGCTTTGAACTAACAAAGCAAACTTTGTTGGATTTACACATCTAGTTACGTATTATACAAGAGAAAGCTTCTGCTTTTCAATTGAATGAATCACTGCATGCTTAAAGGTATAGTGGATGATGTTCTTTTTTGGGTGGATCACAAAAATAAATGGTCTTCCTAATTGTCAATCATTCTGGTGATATGTTTACTTAAGGCCGTCCTATATGCTCGTCCCTATTTTTATTAAAAAATTGGAACTATTCTTTTGGAAAGTAAGCTTGTATGAGTGATGCAAAC